CGACGCTTGGCGTCGGTCAGCCAGGGTTTTTAAGCTTGGGCAAGGGTTGTTCGCCACCGGGCCAGTAGGGGTCCTGTGGGAAAGACGGGATTATAACGCAGCCTCGCACTCGTCTCTACCGAAACGGTTTAACCAGCGATTTCAAGAGACCACATAGCGCCTAATTTGCATTGTCAAACGAGCCGAAGGGCTTGTGCCGGAGAAAGCGAGAAAAATATAAACTTCACGGATGCGCGTGTCAATCCCATTATTTTGCATTTTCAAAAGTCCCGTGTGAAAACCGACGTGAAATCCAAAAATGAGCAACTCGAACACTGGATAGAGAAAAATAAAAAATAAAAGCCTAATCCAGCAGCCATCGTTCCTCCTCATTACACCCCAAGGGGTAGCATTAAGGCCGTCTCTAACGAGCAGCCAACGGCTTCCGGCCGTTTAGTCCTGCTCGTTTCCAGAACAAACAGTCCCTAACAGTTTCTAACAATCGACAGGATCCGACAGTTCCACTTCAAAATTCTAATGCATTATCTAACATCCACAAATAGGCCCAAAAATTGTCCTCGATTCTCCGACGATAAGGGCGCTACTTAAATTCACAGCTATGAGGACTATACCTATATATACAATATATATATATATATACCGATAGACAGAAGCGAAGTGTCCAGGATCGAAGTGGTGGGGTGGATGACAGCTGTATAAATGTGTGGCCGGCCTAATCATATGGTGGAGGTACCGAGGTACCAGCCTATAGATAGAGATCTCTAGTTAGCTGGAATGCGCCGGTGGTTCACTAGGGTCACTACATTTAACTTCTATTCCACCTATACGCAGTCCTACCAACTCGCTCCCGAGGACTCATTGGTCTTATAGGTCTATAGGTCTATAGGTCTATATGGGTCTATACCTGACTATCCACTGGCAATTAAATTTCAGGTGTCCGATCGTCGCTCCTTACCGGCTTCTGGACTATCCGACTATGCCGATTCCTTAAGGTTTCGTCCTACCATATATATAGCTATACCCTCCGGTACAATCTAAAGATCTGAGAGCCGAGCCACGTCAACTGGAATAGCCACCTATTACTTCTTGCACCGTTCATGGAAAGTCGATTGAGACTTTTACTCGTTGGACGGTCCACGGAAAGATCCCCCGGCCTTTGTAATTCTACTGCGAACAAGGTTATTCTTAGATGTTGAAGAATCAAGGAAAACGCATGGCCTATATAGATTGTCACGTGATTTTTCGATTCACGGTCACAAGGCGACTCCGACTACCGATCCGGATAACGTTCTCGATTTCTGGTTCCCTTCGGGTCACCATCCTGCTCGGAAGCTGCGCTCTCGGGTTGATTCGTATAGTTATGCCAGTGCTCTCGGAAGATTTCGTTATTGTTTAGTTGAGGTGCTCGAATCTGCCGCGGGAATTCGCTAAGGAACGCTCTCGGTTTGGTTTAAAGGGACGACTCGAGGGAAAGGGAAGAGTTATCGGCTATAAGGATTTCGACCAATCGGATGATCAGAATTATTAGTTATGGAATTTAGCTATTTTGTCAAAGCAGTCTGTCTCGGGGCACCGACCGGGGTGTCACGGGCTGCCTCGCGCTCCCGGGCTGTTTGTTTATACTTTTTCTAGCTGTGTTTAGGTACGGTGTAGAAAGTTCTCGCTCGCGGAGTTCTCGCGTTGCTCTCGCGATATCCAGGAAATTCGGTGGATTTTCTGTGCGTGTTCCGGAAGTGCAGTGTTGTTCCCTAGTGCAGTGCCCACCCGAGTGTCTCCTGGATGCAGTTCTCGGCCTTCCCGGATCAGCTGCACCAGCTCCGGTGAGTGCTCCTAATTTATTAATTGGTGGAGGGATTTCGATTTTACAGCTCCGATTCGTTCTGCTACGTTCTCGATCCGTTGCTCTCGGCAGCCTGAGCAGCCGCGCATTTCCCTAACCGTTCACTCCCGTTCGCGCGTCCCCAGAAATCTACGGGATCCATTAAGCTATCGTCTTTTCTGATAGTTTTCAGATTTTTCGCTATCGGTGTCGAGTTAAGAAAGATACGGTACAAGATATATATATAGAGATACACATATATGACAGGTGGAATGATAGGTAAGGGTTAATGAGTTCCGGGGAATGCGAATCTATAATTATACGTGAGGCGTCATCCATTTTTACACAGAAAAAAGGGTCAGCCGTGTATTATCGCCTTAAATCAACAGAGCCGCTTCGGTTCTTCGTTCGGCCTCTGCTTCTGTCTCTGTCGCTCTCATCGGTCCACCGGTGGCTGGGCCCCCGAGGCTTTGGGCCTGACTCTAATAGCAGGTCTCGGCTTAATAACCACGACGGTCTCTTCGAGGCCCCAAACCGAATGTCATTGCAGTAGATTCGATCCTGTGAATCGGGCCTGTCAGCACCCACCAGCACCCACCAGCACCCCATTACGCTCAACCGTTTCATCAGCCACGACTCTAAGATCTCCGACTGCCGATTGTCTTTACCCAATTGACGTAATAAATAGTCCATACCGATGGTCTTGATTATGATGCCTGCAGTGAGAGATATGGATATGTATAAAATCATATTATCCACACGGATCATTAAAACTTGAACACCCTGTGCCTTCTGTCATACCGTTACGTCACTGTTCCAGAATTACCACAAGAAAACACAATACGCTGAATATTCCAAAATAAAGGAATTTTCATGCAGTTGAAATTTTTATTTTCCGACGACCACGACTGCGGTGCCATCTATCTGTGATCGTAATTTGAACTTAGAAAAAATGTCCAACAGCCACGTACAGTCTGTTCCAATTTTTCATGAAATGAATTCTTTTCATTTTTTTAGTTTTTTATCC